CAGTACGTCGAATTGTAAGACACGCTCTTAGAATTCGACGTACTGAAATAATTGTATGATTTGTATATCAATAACAGTTTTATAATGCTTATCGCACATAATTATTGTCTAATTTCTCACTTCTAGGAAAATGTTTTTAACTATTTTACAACATTTCTCTAACAATTTTATCAGTGTACTTAAAAAACAATCCGATACTCAGAGTTCAATATTCATTTCAATTTCATTATTTATAATTTATAATTTAATGAAATTAGCATATTTAAAGTATGTGAAAGACAAAAAGGTAGTGTGACAGAGGGAAAAGGTGATAACGAAAGTGTTTTTATAAACATGTGAATGCGTTTGATCAGTGTGCGCCCTGCACGTGAAGCGCCCGCGTCTAACCGTAAACACCGCTCCTGCCCGTCTCCTCTACGCTGCCCATGATACGGTATTTCTTTTTGTAATTTGAAGACTAAGCTTTGGATAAAAATTTTTGTAAAGGAAAAATTGTCTTAGAATTAGGTCAGGGATACGTCTTTTCAGGGATACTTGGATTATTCTAGATTACTCTTACTGCACACACACACACACACACACATTATTTAAAAAAAGTATGGCATAGAAAAGTTGTGGGTAAAAATTAACTAACATTGACTAATGATAACTTTGTAAAAAATTATCGTAGGATAATGTTTTTGCACATCGTGTTTATCGTTTCATGTGAACAGTAACCAGGGAATGGAAAGTTACTTTTTAAAAGTAACAAGTTACAGTTACTCGTTACCGAGTAGGAAAAGTAACAAGTTACCGTTACTAGTTACCGATTTTTAAAAGTAACTCGTTACAGTTACCGTTACTTGAGAAAGTAACTTTTCGTTACTTTTCCGTTACTTTTTTTTAAATCGACGACCAACAATCATAGCGGACGAGCCTAGAGGCTTCTCTAATCTCAAGCGCATTGTAAAAAATTGTGTAAAATTATAACTATTATGCTGGATAATTTTGAGATCCACTATAATAGTTGTAAACGTCCACACATTTGTAAATTTGCAATATGCAAATAAAAATAATTTCTTGGTTTGGAACTAAGCAGATTGTGGAAGTACAATTACAATGTGTAGCTACAAGAACGATAATATGACAATATATTTCGCACTATATATTATTATTCTTTTATGTTACGTAACATTACTAAAATTTGGATAATTACAGAAAATATTCAAAATATCCTGCT